CAATGCTAAATAGAGTAAAATAACCGCAAAACGGTACAGAAAAAGGTACTTAGGTCTGAGAAAACCTACCCCTCTATACACCATTGTCTAATGAAGACCTGCAAACAAAGCCCCGGATGTCGTGCCGTTTCTAGTTTTGTTTGGTACACAACTAAGCCCCGGGTATTAAATGAGCCCTTGCTTTAACTAAACAATAAGATCAAAATGACCATGAATTCAATACATTGGTTTATTTTTGTTATAAAACACTGTCTTTTTATTATTGTCGGATATATACAACGTTGTTAAAATGTAATAAAAGCAAATGATCCATTTGGTATTAAGATCTTCAACTCAGTGGCGTTTAATTATGAGTTATAACTAAACGATAAGTAGCACATTGTACTAACTAGAAGGATGTTATGTTTTCCCTTTAATTGTGTCTGTCAAGTTTTATAGAACTCCCCAATAACATTAAGATTTATCTCCCTTTGCCGGTTCTGTTCACGTTACTCTTGCAATACATCATTGTGATCAGTAATACGTGTGTCTATTGTTTATGTTGAGGTCTTAGCAATTTAATGGGAACATCTACACTGGGGATGAACTGGAAACGAGGGAGGTTTTGCCTCGTATCAAAATGGCGGCGCGTGAAAAAATTTCATTCGGTAAGATTTTTGTTTTTTACAATTTTCGTGCTTTTATCCTTCAAATTAAAACTTAATATTTGGCAAGTAAATAGTTCATAAGTTCCGGTTTTATAATATGATTACAAATTAGAAATCAATACTGGCATTGCTGAGATATTTACATATCAATTCTCTCACTTAGGAAACGAGGCATGTTTCTCAAGGAAACGAGGCAGCTATATAGCATTCTTAAGAATGAAACGAGGCAACCATATTTAATTAAAAATGTTTTTTTTTATTACAGAACGGGGCCTACAAAAAGAAGCATCCCTGTTCAAATGCTATTTCTGTAACAGGAAACGACAACGTTGCTGATATTGTTATGTTGAAGCTTCCTAAAAAGCAAAAATGTTATGTTGAATAGGGAAGCAGATATAGACAGTTGTGAACAAAGCTTGCTTTTATTCTACCTTGAAACATCATTTATTTTAATTCACGATAGCGACATCATAATATTTATGCCATCGACCATTAACATTTTTCATATGTCTTATAATCTAGAAAATTTATGAATATTTCATTTACAAATGCATTACCATTTCTAGCATTTAAGAAAATACAAGGCATTAACATATGACACGTGTTGTAACTTAGTAATAACAAATAAGTCCATTTATCTGCTACCATGGTTACATATGTTCTAAGAAATACTTGAAAGTCATAATAAGTTTATAATAATGTTCACAGTAAAATATGATGTCAGTCTAAGCGGTACGCATTTGTCCAGTTTTTGAAAGTTGCTAAAATTGCTAAAGAATTTGCTATTGACGCAAAACGCCAGACGCCGAACTCCAGACGTCAGACGCCGAACATTTCCACATTTCGTTGGACTATATGCAGAATAACATAATTGATAGTGACATAATAAGGAACATACAGACATTAAAGAATACAAACAGTAAAATCCAATGTACACCAATGAGACAATGCCAGTGTGCTCCTTGACTCTGCTATTTTTGTAATATCAGGCGAATATAGGCGAGTCATTTAATTATTACCATGGTCATATTTTTTTATCGTATCTGGAATTATATTCTATCAAATATAGCCATCTCGAGCAACAACAATGCCCCATTTGCGTACGATTAGTAGGGAGGTTTAACGACACATGTTTTAAAGAGAAGTGTACGTAAACGTGTAAAATTGCAATCTTCAGAGAACTAGTTCTTGTCTTCAACGTCTTTATTTGCATGAATGATTACAAAGGTATCAGTTAAACTGTTTTAATTGGGTCTTTGTATAAGTCAATCCAGAACGGAACTATAGTTCCCAGGGGTCATTTCACGTTTACGTTCGCCATTTCTAAAATACGTGTAGCTTAAGCTCCCTATTAAAATAGCACTTCTTTGAACGAGATTTTTCTTATTTGAGAGAACATTTTGACGATATATGCGCTACCATTGATAGCTCGGATAGCTGGCTCGTTTATTGGAATTGACACTCAAAACAATGCTATTTAACGTTTTCGAAATATTTAGGTACGAAATTCGCGTGAAAAGTCCGAACGAAATGCGTACGTTTTTTTCGGCGTTTTGGACAGTATACATCACAAAGGAACTTATCGTGTCACTTGTCTATTGTGATGGCATAGAGACAATTAGAAAAATTGAAGAATTTGAAGAAAAATAGCCACCCAAAGACACTTACACCTGCTAATTGCCATTTTACAAAGAGTTTATTCAAGCAAGAAAACTGTTTGGAAAAACGTAATTTCGGGTTGAACATGGTACCCACCACTCTGGTTACCATAGCAACCATATCTCAAGAACCAATCAAAATTGAGGTCCAAAATTTTACCATATAATGTATAAATATATAACACATATGTGTACCAAGTTTCATTGCAATAATACTATTGTCCTTGAAGTTATGACATCAAATGCAAAACTTTTTGAACCACCTAAGTATATCGTGTAAAACGTAATCGGTCGTATGTGACCAGAACGGTGGAAATAAGATCATTAAATGTAGACACTATCACAGAAATAATAGTTGCCTCGTTGCAAGTCAAACATTGCCTCGTTTCATTGTTACAAAATGTAGACAGGTGCCTCGTTTCCTAAGTGAGAGAATTGAAATGTAAATATCTCAGCAATGTCTGTATTGATTTCTAATTTGCAATCATATTATAAAACCGGAACTTATAAACTATTTACTTGCCAAATATTAAGTTTTAATTTGAAGGATAAAAGCACGAAAATTGTAAAAAACAAAAATCTTACAGAATGAAATTTTTTCACGCGCCGCCATTTTGATACGAGGCAAAACCTCCCTCGTTTCCAGTTCATCCCCAGTGATCTACGTATTAAAGGAAATTACAATTTCGTTGTTTATATGGCATTTTAGTGCGTTTCAGAAATCAGGTATAACTAACAACGGTTCAGTATGTTCCTGATATCATGACCCCTTTGGAATTAACCCCCCCCCCTCCCCCTCAATTCCCCACCCTTTCTCATTTGTTTTTAATGGACCTACTTATAACTATTTTTCTTACACCGTTAAACTACAAAAATCTCAGGAGAATCATAATTTTAGACATTCACCTTCTCTTAAAAACGTCCATATTAGCAGGTGTAAAGGGGTTGTCCAAATGCATCACTGTCTTAAAATGTGTTTCGAAAATCAGTTCACAAGTATTACGATTATTCAGTCATAATCCAATACCATCAGGCCAAGTTATCACGTTAATCATTGTTCAATGCATATATACCTCTTCCATGTGATCATTCCGTCGCGCTGGATTTGTTTACATTGCTACAGAATAAAATTGATCATTTCAGTAAAGATGGTGACCTCACCTTATCGGAAATGGAGAAATGGAAATGGAGTGTTCCCCAGCTAGTCAAACCTTTAAAGAATAACACATCCACTTTCCTTGTTTACGCCTCTAACCCTATAAGTCATCTGTGAGTCATCATCTACTGTTTTCAGTGTGAGCCGAAGATTAATTTCATTTATGATCCTAGCATACCTATATTCACTTGCAGATTTTGGGAATATTTGCAACCCTTCTTATTTGTTTCTAACTTTGAACATAGGGTTTTTTGGAAAAAAAACATTTAATTTTTATTGAGAACTTCATTATGCACTACCAGATGCTTTAATTTGAAAACGGTATATGTACGCGTGCATATGAGTGCCAGATTCATGGGTGTGTTTCAAAATGCGGAATTTGGTCTGATAAACCTAAAATCTTTTTTTGATTTTGATCTATACAGAGTGAAATGTGTGCGGTCTTCTCTGTTAACGTAAACGTAGGTGGCTGCCCCGAGTTTCTCGAGAATAATTCCATTAGGCGTTATTTCAAAGGAGTGGTATCGATATGGTGAACTTTTTGAAACACACGTTTCTCTTAAACCAGTCATAAAAAATCTTAAAATTCAACACATCGATGGTCATCTTTTGAATGGTAACAATATAATTTGAAAAAATATATATATACTTTCATCTATATTCTTCCACTCAACTATAATCAGCTTTGTTTCTTTTGTCGATTGATATGCAAATGTTCAATAAAATTCATTATTTTGCATATTGTTATTACAGTCCAAGAAGGGTTTTGAAAATGTTAATATCCACTCTCCATTTCTATGAGCGTTTGAACTAATTACATAAGAGGCTAGTGATTTGCTTTCAAGTCATTTTGTAATCTCTTTGAAAATAATTTCCAATTAATGTTTTCCTTTTAACCTTATCAGGTTTTTTATCCAATATAAAGTTGTACGTTAGTTTCTCTAAATCTAAGAGTATATTTATTATATGTGGCATGGTAGCTAAATAAGTAGTTGTGGAAAGGCATACGTTTTTACAATTGTGATCTTTCCATGAATATGATCTTTCCATTTTTTCCGAATGCTTCCAGGACTTTGAATGGATCATTTTTCCCAGTTAAGGCCAGCAAAATTCATATCTCTGTTTTGTGTGTTATTTCCTTTGTAAATTGTTTCAGTTTTTGTTTTATTCATAACTAATCCAGCGACTTTACCCAAACCATCTAAAATCTTAAGAACAATTTCAACAGAAAGATTGGTTTTTAAATAAGGTAGTATCATCTGCTTACTGTGAAATCATGGTGTTTCGGTACCACAGACATTTCTTCTTGACGTGTCTACTTGTACGTGTATATGTGATGATACTATTTGGATCAATGCATAAATAAATGCAAAAACGTTAAAAAATTTTAGCGATTAACTTCAAAGATTGCCAACGTATGACAAGTTATTCTTCTAGTATGAGCCCTTTTTAGAAAAATTGCACGCTCTACCAATTTTAATATTTTGGGTGGATAAAACTGATAATCATGAAGTCCATTTATGCCCAATTCTCACTCACCACAGTTCTCGTCGACTCCACTAAAACATTCGCTAACACCATTGCATATCTTTGAGGGACCAAGACATAGATCGTCACATTCCAACTCTTCGCTTTTACACACCGTGTCCTCTCCGCTAATCAGCGTTTCGACGTAATTAGTTTCATTAGAGGAGCCTGTAACAATATAGACAACAAAAATGTTATATGAAACCAACAATTTTGCCAAAATGGTTGATATTACAGCCAATTACTGCCAATGAACACCTTATATGTTATTCAACTTCTGGGGTTTCTATCCTAATTACTGTTTCTTAATATATTACTTAATTAGGATAAATCACGTGTCTGAAATTCGAATAGTCACAAATTAGAAACTGTCAATACCAGAGCATTTTCGATTTAGACCAGTAGAGACAATTAGTCAAAGCCTAACTAAAGGAAGCAGAAAAGGAACATCGCAAATGACATTTCCTTCATTAGGAATGGCACTCGTGAACAGTAGCCGATTTCAACTCAATTGGGATTTCTCTTTTATCATCCAGGGTGCATTTAAATCTATAAGAGAACATTTAGATTAAAATGAGAGAAATTCAGATTGAAGATTTTTGTAACACGACATCGTCAATTTTGTTGTTTCTCGAAAGCAGCAAGCTGAAAATTCTGAAATGTAAAACTTTTATTTCAGTCGCTTATTTACTGTTTATTATCTCTGTCGAATTATACGAAACAATAAAATTGTATTATTGTAATTTTGCAAGGGAATTGTTTTCATACAATTGAGGAAATAATGAATGTTGTTGAACAAAAGCTTCCTCAAAGATTGTTCAACTTATTATTAGTGACCACCTGAAATGCAACTGTTGCAAATATGGAGCATGAAACAATATCACAACGCTATACTGTTACAAAGACGTCGTAATAATTGATTTATTTTCTGTCTCGCAATCCTGTTTTCACGCTGCCCTCATAGTTTCTCATTTTTATGTCGCCACCAAGAACTGGTGTAACTATTTACAACAGCTTACAAGGTGAGGAACAGAAAATGTTCATGTTTAATTTAATCTCCTCATAAACTAGATTGAAATAATCACTTTTCACAATTTGATTTGGTTCCTATAAATTATCACAAAAATGGTTTCGCTGGGCCAATGCGATCTAAATGTTTAAGAAAAGATTCACACGGTACGGCAATTTCATTTTTGACCTTGGCCACAATAGAAAATACCATTTTCATATTGAGCAAATTCACAAGTTTCTCAATGAAACATAAGTGTAATGAAATACAACTGATCCGAACCAGTGAGCATGTACATGGTATAAGGTGTCATCGCAACGTGATTAATTAATGAAAATATAATGATGTCGCTAGTGTCATAACTGACTGCCTTTGATATATTACGGAATCCATATACACGACACATTGAAAACACACCTATGACAAAGGTAATTAAGGTATTTTTTTAATATAATTCACCCAATGGTCTTCACTCCAAACCATACTTCTTATAATCTTGTAATAAAGTATGGCGATTAAAGAATTGCTTTTGTCAAAATAATGAAATAAACATATTGGTTATCTTTTCCAATTTGTTTCGCTTGTCGCTCACTGCTACAGAGGTAGCATGGGTTCTTTCAAACGTGACATGTACATAAATTAATATCTTATTTCTTGACATTGGGACATGTTGACATACGTAAAAACAAGATTCTGATGTTGGGCTAAAAGGGACAGTTTATTTATACAATTCAATACAGGTACCGTCTGTAAAGAAAAAAAGGTACGCTGTCCTTTACCAATCATATCTTTTTTATTTTGCGTTATTATCACACCAAACTTTCAGAGGTATAATGTATGAATACTTTGACCAAAATGGAGTAAATTCCAAAGAATTTCATAAAAATGGTAAAAGTTAGAAAGGATTGAATATAACAACTCCCAAAATCGTGAGTGTGACTTTTTACCATAAATTGACGTCATTTTTAGAAATCCTATACCCAGCAATGTGCTCAAGAAGGGGCCCTTCTGAGACATGAAGTTAAATTGTTAGTTACATATACAGGAATACACCATTTTAAAAAGTCTTCAATCCAATCACGAGGGGAAAGTCTACCCGCGTATATACAACCTACCGCCGAGCAAACACTCGAAGATGCCTGAAAATGTAGGGGTTAGGTTAATAAACTCCTGTTTATATATTGAATTTCTCAATATGTGAAATAGATAAAACACAGAATAATTTGTAACAGATATAGTTGTTGTTCCATGCACTCATGTTTGCAGAATAATGAGTACTTTATGCAATATTTACTATCAAATCGCTAAATTCAACTTCTAAATATGATGTTTTACATCTTAAATAAGTAAGAATCATGGCTTTATTTACTCCATTTGATTCAAATATACCATAGGTGCAAATATATTACATTTGTTTTACTGTCATACGTTGCATATCATTGAAATCACCGGTGAAAGTTGAAAATGATTATCATTATTATATCGTTATTTTCCCATTATTCATGGAGCATTTTATAGCGTAATTACATGTTAACAAGTTGTATAAAAATTTCAATCGAAGTTTGTTTTGTTGCTTTTTACAAAAGTGGTAGTAATTTACATCATTTATACATTTATGTTGATGATCATATAATAACATGAAGTATATCACAAAAATTCCACTCTTAAAAATTATTACTTGGATTTCCTTATATTGAGAAATTGTACTACTCATTTTAAAGTGTCTGTGCGATGCTCATGGGGCCAAAATACAGTTTATACACGTTCTAAATGAAGTAAATACCACCAACATGTCAAACCAGGTACCGTTCTTGTAAATATTTTTATAAATGTGAAATTTGATGTTCAAAATCGGGAACACAATGTCAAATGCCAATCATGACATCACGAACAGAACGGGTTTTGAATATGTTGTTGGAGTTCATAATCTCCAAACGTGCTTATAAAGTGTTAGTGTAATTGATTGCAACTGCATTCAATGCAGTGCGGAAATGATTCAACTTTGAATACTTTGGAGCCACGATTTTTCCTCCGATGAGCGAAAAATAGAATACCTCAATTAGATCTCCCGACCCTGTGATGCGTTTTCACAAAGCTAGTCATGTAGAATTACGTTCTGGCCAGGCATTTAACCATGAGGTGATTTCGGTAAGCGTTACTCCTTTCTGGCCAATCAGAACACAATATTATTAACTTGGCACCATAGTTGCATAATGCCGTGGTCACATTTGCTCCGATTTTCAGTACCTTTGCTCCGATTTTCAGTACCGCGCCCGGCCTGTTCGTGACGTCATGTTTTTTCCCGGGAAATCTTATTTTGCCTCTAATGAACAAACGGAATGAGTTGAGAGTCTGTTGGAATACTATTTTTTACTTACCAATATCTGTTTAATCTATTGTAGTGAGAAAAAGTAAACAGAAATTACCGAATTAGCACTTTAAGTAATAATCTTGAACTACTGAATAATTTTTAAGTAATTCATTTATGGTGAATTTACTAATGCAAGGAGAGAAATTGAAATACTTACTGTAGTAATTGTAATACTCATTTACATAATTAAGCAATTAAAAAACTCAAAATGACAATATAAGTTAAACCTAAGTAAAATGAAGTAAAACTATGTATTTAACTTTAAGTAATATTTATACTTGGGAAATACTTGGGAAATACTCAAGTAATTCATTTTTAAGAGTGTCCTGTTAATATGATATAATTCCCGCAGCACTATACCACCCCGGGTGACCAATATCCTGTGTTCCGAATTTCGTTCCAGCAAGTCAGTGACCCGAGTTGTGTTTTTACTGAATCCCGATAAATATGGCGTCTCGTTCGCCACTGGACGAGCCAGGTGACGAAAATGTGTCAAACAAATCAGATAGCATAAGGTAAGAATGAATATGGAGTAATGCATTCGGTGCTGGAATATGTTTTCAACATGTTCCTAAACGATTATCCATATATGTAGGCTATTAATGCAAATCGAAGCATAAAACCAACATGACCCAGTTCGAAAAGCTCGCAGAAAACGATACCAGCGAGTCGTTCTTTGCCTTCTGTAAGTAATGATGGATACTCTGAGCATTGTATAACTGTAAAGTATACCTTATTAGTATGTCTCAACTTGTGCTATGTTTGAATCCAAGCTATTATCTTTCATAAGCGTCTTGGAAGTCGTTGAAAGATATATTCCATTCTACCGAATAGGAATAGTCATTGTCCCGAAGCTACAGAATAAGATTATATATATTTTGTATACTTTTGAGAATCCATTCATGAATACATCAAGCTAATTTGGTGCTACCTTTCTTGTTATTATTTTACAAATTCAAGATCGAATTTCCCTGTATATTGATTTCCACATTGGCATTGAACTGCAAATACAGGGTGTCCCAAAAAGTGTACCCACTTTATAGAAGGAATATAACTATTAAAAAAAATTGAACTTTTCACATGATTAGCGGTTTTACCAAGGGTGGAGTTTTTGCCAAGGGGGGGGGCTTTTTGACAGTTTTGATAGCACGATCGTATGTATAGTATCAGTATCTCAATGATAATACCTCAATTTGAGGTTTATTTGAGCCTAGCCTTCTACTATAACTATGATCTGGCTGGCATCTGTTGTTTTGGCAAAAAAATCATGTGAAAAGTGCTCAGAATGGTGAAAAACTGCAAGTTTTTGAGAGAATTTCTGACCAGGGCCCCCCCCCCCCTCCTATCTGCGGGCCTGATTTAATAAATTATGCATGGATCCTGCCATTACCTTAGCAATGCTATCGTGAAAGCCTGGTGTGACCGTCGCCTTTATGTGACATTTATGGCTTACTAAGTGAAGACTTTTTAGCCTGTTGTCAATATTATTATATTTTTATGGGTAAATTGTAATGCCTACTCTAACAGTGACAACGTTGAAATATCTTACAATACCTGGCATATACCTGCTATATGATATGCTATATTTTTTGTCAATCCCTGGTTTTTGTGACAATGTTAAAATATATCATAAAAATGCCTGCTACAGTATGTGCAATGTGGATTGTGAAATGACCATTGTTTGAAGGTGTTGCAACATAGTCTCATAATTTACACATGTTGTATTGTACTCTCATCCTCTGATGTGTGTGGCCTCTTGACAATTTTCACATATTTTAACATGGGAAA